GTATGTACAAATACGTTACACACTTCCTTCACAAAGATTTAGAGGAACAGCAAATACCAACAGACTGGAAGGAAGGACACTTCATCATTATGCAAAGGAAAGCTCATCTAAGAAATTGCGAAAAACTACTGAGGCCACACTCTACTCTTAATACCAAGAAGTCTTCAACAGAATGGCACTGAGCCGAATGAAAAACCCAGTAGACGCCCATCTTTGAGATCAGCAGGGTGGGTTCCGTAAGGATCGATCATGTACCGACCAAAATGCGACACCACGGACCATTGTTGGACAACCAATTGAATCGAACTCATCACCATGCACCGACTCCCTTGACTATGAAAAAGAATTCAACAGCGTGGACAGAATCACATTGTGAAGGCTTATTCGATACTACCTGAAAAGATATTCAGCATCACACGGAATTCGTATGAAGAACTGCAGTGCAAAATTGTGTCATGGAGGACAGATCACAAACTCACTTCAAGTGAATACCGGTGTTAGCCAGAGTTGATACTTACTTTCACCTTTAGCGCAACCAGACAACATTCCAGAAGAGGCAATGGAAGCAGACATGGGAGCAACTGCAACAACATCCGCCAGTCAAACCACTCTTGATAGATATGCTTTAGAAGACGTCAGAACTTTACAAATCTGGGCAACATCATTTACGAGCAAGGTGGATCCGATGCAGATGTGAGGGAGCGGATCGGCAAGGGAAGGGCTGCATTTCTGCAATTAAAAAATTTATCGAACTCCAAACAAATATCAACCAACACTAAAGACACAGTTTTCAATAAAAATGTCAAGACAGTTCCACTATATGGAGCGGAAACTTGGAGAACTACGAAAGCCATCATCCAGAAGATACAAGTATTGACTCATTCCGTTGGCCAGACACCATCAGCAACAACCTACTGTCGGAGAGAACAAACCAGATTCCAGTGGAGGATGAAATCAGGAAGCGATGGAAGTCGATATGACAAACACTGTGGGAAGCACCGAACTGAGTCACAAGACTAGCCGTCGCTTGGAACCCTCAAGGTCAAAGGGAAAGAGGAAGGCCAAGGAATACATTACACTGAGGAATAGAGACATGAAATTGGAAGACAACTGGACAGAACTGGGAAGGGAAGCCCAGGACAGAGTAGACTGGAGAATGCTGGTCGGTGGCCTATGCTCTATTGGTGGATAACAGGCGTAAGTTAGTCACAACTGAAGAAATGCACGTGCATCAACTTTCTGGGGAAAAAACACTATGTGAGTGGAAAAAATGCTTAATTGCCTTGTGTTAAGAATTTAAAACACAGCTAGAGACAAAAATCAAGCATCTTACCAATTTGTCACTGATGGTAAAACGTGCCACTGACGGGTCATTATGTGAAAACGTCTAATTTAAATGATTATTAGTTGTACAGATAATCATTGTACCTGGCCGGTGTGTGTTACTGTTGCTGCACTTTCAGTACTGTAAAACATATATCGTAGATAAACAGGAGAACGAAAGAACCTAATAGCACTGAGCGCCATCCTAACAGCTAACCTTAAGTTACGAACATTCCGCCGCTAGCTGAAAGATCGGCATGATTTCAAAAAACGCAAGGCGACAACAACCATAGTTATCATTATGTCATCTGAGTAAGCCGATGCCACATTTCAAATCGCGTTCTAACTTCGAATCAGTTTTTAATTGCTACGCATGAAAATGTCCGCGTACAAGCTCAAGAAAAGTATTGCAGGTAACAGCACCACCAAGTAGATAAGATTGATAAAATTGGTAGGAGTAAGTTGGAAAATCACGCTGAAAGTTGTGCGAATATTGATATATGTCGGCGATACGCGTGATATATAGGTTCTATGCCAATCAAACCACTGTTGATGCAGATGCCGTGGCGGACGTTAAAACCTGTACATATCTGGACAGCATCAATGACAATCAAGGTGGATCCGGTGAAGATATAATGTAGCGGATCGGCCAAGCAAGGCCTGCATTTCTACATTTGAAGATCATTTGGAACTTCAAACAACTATCAACCAGCACCGAAATCAGAATTTTTAACACAAATGTCAAGACAGCTCTACTATATGGAGCGAAAATGTGAATAACTGCGAAGGCCATAATCCAGAAGATGCAAGTGTTCATTAACAGTTGCCTATACAAATTACTTCGGATCCATTGATCAGATATGATCAGCAACAACCTGCTGTGAGAGAGAACAAAGCGGATTCCAGATGAGGAAGAAATCAGGTTGGAGTTCTGGAAGTGGATCGGGCAAACTTTAACGGAGTAACTGACTGCGTCATGAGGAAAGTTGTAACTTGAATTCCTGAAGTGGAAGGAAAGAAAGGAGACCAAAGAACATATTACACAGAAAATTGGAATCAGACATCTACAGAATGAAAGACAGTTGTGCAGAACTGAAAAGGTAGGCCCAGTACAGAGTTGAATGGATAATGCTGGTCGGTGGCTTATGCTCTGCATAGGACAAAAGGATGAAACAGGTAAATAAGTAATGGGACCTGACTTACAGAAAACTAATTTTTAGACTGATTTTCGTCGTAGAACCTATATATCACGCGTATCGCCGACATATATCAATATTCGCACAACTTTCAGCGTGATTTTCCAACTTACTCCTACCAATTTTATCAATCTTATCTACTTGGTGGTGCTGTTACCTGCAATACTTTTCTTGAGCTTGTACGCGGACATTTTCATGCGTAGCAATTAAAAACTGATTCGAAGTTAGAACGCGATTTGAAATGTGGCATCGGCTTACTCAGATGACATAATGATAACTATGGTTGTTGTCGCCTTGCGTTTTTTGAAATCATGCCGATCTTTCAGCTAGCGGCGGAATGTTCGTAACTTAAGGTTAGCTGTTAGGATGGCGCTCAGTGCTATTAGGTTCTTTCGTTCTCCTGTTTATCTACGATATATGTTTTACAGTACTGAAAGTGCAGCAACAGTAACACACACCGGCCAGGTACAATGATTATCTGTACAACTAATAATCATTTAAATTAGACGTTTTCACATAATGACCCGTCAGTGGCACGTTTTACCATCAGTGACAAATTGGTAAGATGCTTGATTTTTGTCTCTAGCTGTGTTTTAAATTCTTAACACAAGGCAATTAAGCATTTTTTCCACTCACATAGTGTTTTTTCCCCAGAAAGTTGATGCACGTGCATTTCTTCAGTTGTGACTAACTTACGCCTGTTATCCACCAATAGAGCATAGGCCACCGACCAGCATTCTCCAGTCTACTCTGTCCTGGGCTTCCCTTCCCAGTTCTGTCCAGTTGTCTTCCAATTTCATGTCTCTATTCCTCAGTGTAATGTATTCCTTGGCCTTCCTCTTTCCCTTTGACCTTGAGGGTTCCAAGCGACGGCTAGTCTTGTGACTCAGTTCGGTGCTTCCCACAGTGTTTGTCATATCGACTTCCATCGCTTCCTGATTTCATCCTCCACTGGAATCTGGTTTGTTCTCTCCGACAGTAGGTTGTTGCTGATGGTGTCTGGCCAACGGAATGAGTCAATACTTGTATCTTCTGGATGATGGCTTTCGTAGTTCTCCAAGTTTCCGCTCCATATAGTGGAACTGTCTTGACATTTTTATTGAAAACTGTGTCTTTAGTGTTGGTTGATATTTGTTTGGAGTTCGATAAATTTTTTAATTGCAGAAATGCAGCCCTTCCCTTGCCGATCCGCTCCCTCACATCTGCATCGGATCCACCTTGCTCGTAAATGATGTTGCCCAGATATGTAAAGGTTCTGACGTCTTCTAAAGCATATCTATCAAGAGTGGTTTGACTGGCGGATGTTGTTGCAGTTGCTCCCATGTCTGCTTCCATTGCCTCTTCTGGAATGTTGTCTGGTTGCGCTAAAGGTGAAAGTAAGTATCAACTCTGGCTAACACCGGTATTCACTTGAAGTGAGTTTGTGATCTGTCCTCCATGCACAATTTTGCACTGCAGTTCTTCATACGAATTCCGTGTGATGCTGAATATCTTTTCAGGTAGTATCGAATAAGCCTTCACAATGTGATTCTGTCCACGCTGTTGAATTCTTTTTCATAGTCAAGGGAGTCGGTGCATGGTGATGAGTTCGATTCAATTGGTTGTCCAACAATGGTCCGTGGTGTCGCATTTTGGTCGGTACATGATCGATCCTTACGGAACCCACCCTGCTGATCTCAAAGATGGGCGTCTACTGGGTTTTTCATTCGGCTCAGTGCCATTCTGTTGAAGACTTCTTGGTATTAAGAGTAGAGTGTGGCCTCAGTAGTTTTCGCAATTTCTTAGATGAGCTTTCCTTTGCATAATGATGAAGTGTCCTTCCTTCCAGTCTGTTGGTATTTGCTGTTCCTCCTAAATCTTTGTGAAGGAAGTGTGTAACGTATTTGTACATACTGTTATGTCTGCTTCCAGGTCTCAGCTGATATTTGTCTAATGGCCATGCTGATTTCTTCTACTGTTGACGGGTCAAGATTAATTGGGAGGTCCGTATATGCTGGGTTGATATTTTGAGGGTTCAGTGAGGCAGGTCGATTAAAGGGTTATTCGAAGTGCTCTAGAAACCTGTGTCTCTGTTTTTCAGTGTCGATGATTGTTTTGCCTTCCTTCCTTTCCACTGATCGCTCTGGTTAACTATAGTTCCCAGCGAACATCTTTGTTGTATCGTACAATTGTCTCAAGTTTCCGTCTCTTGCAGCCTTTTCGCCGCCACTTCTAGATCTCCCACATGTTTACGTTTGTCGTCTCTGATGCTCCTCTTCACTTGCTTGTTTGAGTCTGTGTATTCAGCTTGTGCCTTGTCTTTCTCTGCTCTTGTTCGGCTGATTTTGATTGCTGTCTTCTCTTTCCTCCTTTCTTGAATTTTTTCAAACGTACCAGTAGAGACCCATTCCTTGTGATGGTGCTTCTTGTGACCCAGAACCTCCTGACATTTTGAAGTGTTCGCCTCCTTGATCCCTTTCCGATTGTTCTCCATGGTTGTTTACTCTCCATTTTGTAGGTCGTGCAAGGCGTGGAACCTAATGTTGAGGGCTATCTTGAACTCGCTGAGCTTCACAGTATCCCGAAGAAAGGCCGTACGAACTTTAGTGATGTTTTCCGCCTCATTGTCCAGTGCCTATTGAGTTTCAGTTTTATTTTGGCGACCAGCAAGTGATGATCTGAAGCTTTATCAACTCCTCTCTTGATTTTAAACTCCTCCATGGTCCTTATGTACTTTTTATTGATACAGATATGGTCGATTTGGTCCTGAGTAGTGTGATCTGGTAAAATCCATGTAGCCTTGTGTGGGAATATTGTGCCGCGGATGACTAGTTTGTTAAAGGCACATAGGTTCGCAAATCCCTCGCTATTTTCGCTCCTTTCTCCCAGTCCATGTTGTCCTATGATGTCTTCATATCCAGTGTTGTCCATGCCAAACTTGGCATTTAGGTCTCCCATTAGAATCGTCAAGTCATTTGATGAGCATTTGTCGACGATTGACTGCGGCCTCCCGTAGAATTTATCTTTAACGTCGTTTATTGTAATGCCCTCTTTCTGTGTTTTGAGGGATGCTTTGATGGTCCTGGGCCCATGAGATTCCCATCCTGTTAGTGCCTTTTGTGCTTGTTCGGACAGCATCAGTGCAAGTCTTTGTGTGTGTGAGGCATTTTCTTTTTCATGGCCGGAGTATAACAGCAGCTCTCCTGGAGCTAGTCACAGTTGTCCAATATGTGTCCAATGTGCTTCTCTGATTCCAAGTACCACTAGGTTGTACGTTTTTATTTCTGTACCAACTGCAAAGACTCTACCGCTCTCCTCGATTGTACTAATATTCCAGGTCCCTAAATAATTGGTTGCTGTGGTTGTGAGAAGGGTCATCGGCCTCGTGACTTGCGAATAATTTCATCTTTCATCATGAGACTTGATAACTCTTGTGAAAGAAGACCTAACTCCCAGGACGGAGTTAAAATGGTTTGAATTGTTTTCTGGCTAGCGTTTTTTAGTGAGTTAGTTTTCTGTGGGATTAGGTTGAAAACCTCATTCCCAACCCTCCTACTTTGTCAGGGTTTGGGACCAGCAGTGGCCCCAGAGGGTCTTCAGATGTATTTGACAATCTACGTAGAAATTAGATGAGCATTCGTTTGCATGACTTTGGAGATGGAATTTTTCACAATGAGGAATGTATCGCTGTGTCAGATATGTTGGTACTGGATCACATATTAGCATCGCGTTGGGCGCACCTGACTTGTCAATCGGATTCTAATAAAAATTGATAAATAGCACTCAGTTATCCTTAAAATTCTTTTTGAGGCGGTCTCTGCACATTGTATCGAAATATAGCTCTCTCGGTAGAAACATCATTATTTTGCATTGTGCTGTCAGACACCTTCAAATCCTTTTAGTAGGTCAAGAATTCACCCTGGAAATTTTCCAATAACTCGTCTTCATATAAGTATTCACCTCGAGAGTACTGAGAACTGTAGTATGTCTCTCATTTTAATTCATGTATGCATCCTACATCTGCTGAAG